GAGTAAGGAAGATGATCAGCAATTGGCCCTGAGAGATAGATCCATCCCAACATCAAGTAGGATGGTGGTCCAAGATAGTAGAGTTCCTACACAATCAGAAGTTAGAATTCCAGTTTGAGTTTCACTAACCCTGTGTAATTGCCAGAACCTCTGGTAAGTTGCTCATACTCTAAGTAGATGCTTCTAAGAACAGCAGATTCTCAAAATGGGAAAAATATTCACAAAAGTCTGACCTTTAACATTTCCTGCCCTTAGTTCCATATTTTATTATTTTCATCACTAGTTCAGTAATAAAGTTCTGTAAATGTCTCCAGGGTTTATATTTTTTTGTGATTTTTTTTCTAGTCATTATGAGTGAGAGATTAGGTTCTAAAGATATTCATTGCCAGAAATGTGAGTCCTTTAAGATATTTATGTTTATTTATAAATGTGAAATTGTTTATTACTTAAATTGTTTCACTTATCCTTGCCAAAATATCTCCAATTCAAAAACCACTTTCAAAATCCAACTCATACATATTTGGCAGGAATATTATGTGGGTTTTAAAATAGGTATGTAAAATTATCCCTTTGTTGTATAATACTAAAAATATGTGTCATCAATGTTTTCTTCCCCTGTATGCACATGCTAGGTGTTAGGTGGAGAAATGGAATCTAATTTTCTTCCCCTTCCCACTGGTTTTGATTACTTGCTTCAACAAAGAATGCAACAGTTATGAATCCTGAGGCTTCGGAGTAGAAGTCACGAAAATCTTTGCAGTTTCTGCCCAGGTCTTTAGAATACTAGCTTCCAAGATATTCCCTCAGAACATCCTGATGTGTTGTACAAAGCCAAGGAGGTTATTCCATTAACAGCTCCACCTGAGCTCCTAGCTCAGAGCCAGCATCAACTGGAGCCATGTGAGTGGTGAGCTTGGATACTCAGTCAAGTCTAATTCTAAAACGTCTGGTAAACCACTGACTGCAATTGCATAAGAAATGCAAGTGAGGTTTGTTACCACATCACAAGAGTTAATGACCTATTATTATTTTATTGCTAAAATTTGAGGAGTTACTTTGTAGTAACAGCTAGCCTGTATATATTCAAGTGAATAAGAAGGTCATTCAGGTATTTTCCAATAATCAGCTATAGTAAATATAATGATGAAAATATAAATAAGATATTATGAAACATACTGAGAAGAAACACCTTGAAATACAATTCTAGAAGTTCAGTAAAGGTTTTCTGAATGACATGGCATTAAACGTGGAACTCAGAAGCAGGATGCGAACTATTAAGACAAAAGCAAAATGACCAGTGTTGTACTAGAGCAGTGTTAAGGGCTGCAAGTTTTTCTGAATTCAAATTATTAGGAGACAATGAGACTGAATTAGCATAATTCAGTACCTGTCAATTTTAAGAAGTTTGCATCATAGTGTAAACTATGGGGAGCTACTCAAGGACTTTTTATCTGAGGTAAAAATGCCAATTAATCTCTCAGCCTATTTCTTATAAATTAAGATTCAAAGTAGAAATAAAAGAAAAATCTGATGGTACAGCAAAACAAAGAACTCACACAGTAATTCAGATACCATAATATGTGGCCTTGAGCTAGATAAACATGGAGAAGTGAAATGGATTTAGAGATATTCTGGAGTTTCAGATAACTGTATGGTGATGTTTGAATACAGGGACAAACACAAGGAAGAAATTAAGCGTGACTTTCATGCTGCTTAATCTAAAAAGGGAAATAGTCAGACCACAAAATCATTTGAACTTAGAAAGATGAATCCTTGATATTCTGTTTTTGAGATTCTTGTATGAAAGTAAGTAGTTATATTTAATAAAACTTGAGTTTGTAAATACCATCCATGAAGTAATTAAGGATGAGCAATTCATTCATTTAATCACTAAATCATTATTGACTAAACAACTACCAGTTTCCAGAAGTTGTTCTAGATGCTTGGATTAGATCAGAACACCCAATGAAGACCCTCCATGAGATAAATAGCATTATAAGACAATGACAAACAAAGAAAGTATAATCAGGCTGCTAATTTAGATAAAGTAGTTAGAAGAGGTAGGATATTTAGATGGAAATGACTTATAAACTAGTAAAAAAAAAAGTGGCATCAAGACAGAACAAGAGCAGAGGGCAAAGTGGGAATATTCTGACAGGTTAAGGGCATGAGAAAATGAATCAACAAATTTTATTGGTGATAATTTTTAACAATTATGATGTATGTTTTAGATTTTATATGTGTACAGAATATCAAATAAGATTTTTTATGCATCACTCTTTAAGTAGCACTTGTTAACATTTTGTAGTTCTATATAAAATTCAGAGCCAATTTTTTGCTTATCAGACATATAAAAGGGTAACTAATTAGACACACAATATTAGATATCTTCCCAGGCTTACAGTGAACCATTTAAGGTTTCTAAATCTGTGGGGTCAATCACATTTAATAATTTGTTTTAAGTAAACTAAATTCACCCGTTGTCAATGACAAAAAAAAATGTGGATATGCTTCTTCCCTGTAACTGTAAGAAATACAAATGTGTTGGCAATACAAAACACAAAGTAATAAGAGCTTTGCAACTCTCTTCCTTGAAAGGAGGAATTTCCTCTATTGCTGTGCACAGATAAGCTGTATAATGTGGCCTAGGAATATATGCAATTATCAACATGAAAGTATAAGATGGTTTTATTAAAAAACAAATGATACTTATATAGAATAGTCAGAAATAACCTTTTATTTTGAAAAAACTAATCAATTTTATTGTTTTATATTTAGAGAAAGATGGAGGAGATAATATAGCACTGGTGAATTTGGGTTGTTTAATGTAGACTTTTTTTCCACTGCCATGTTTAATACAGCTTAGATTCATTACTGAGTTTGATTGTTCTCTTCAAATGACTAAGCTTCTCTTATGGCATGTTATGTTGCAAGTATGCTAAGATCATCTATTTTCATTCGTAATATAATTACAATACATCATGTACTTTATATTTGTAAATATCATCTTCCTCTTTGTTACATTTTTCTTGCAAGTTTGCACAGGATTCCTATGCTTACAAATTCCTTGTTACAAATAGCATTCCTATGCCATGAAATATAGAAAAATAGAGAGTCCAAGCAAAAAATGTTTTTGTATATTATTCAACTACTGTGAACCATTTATGAAATAAAAATATTATACTTTCATGAAAAAATTATTATTATAAGAATATATTTTGAACTTGAGGAAATAAAATTGATTTTATTATGCTCTCATATTATTTTCTGGTGTACATACCAAATACAAATTCCTATACTCGAAAAAGTATGCTCCAACACCTAAGAACCAAGAGGCTTAAATGTCAAACAAGAAAGAAGAAATGAAAGAAAAATAGAAAGAAAGAAAGAAAGAGAGAGAGAGAGAGAGAGAGAGAGAGAGAGAAAGTCAGTTGAGACCAAGGAAAGAGAGGCATGTTAAAATAAAACTAATAAAATTATGTAAAGAAAAAACAGGAAACTCATTATGTGACTAAGATACTGCTATGCAAATTCATTTTCTAAGTGTGCAATTATGTGAAAGATTTTAAATTGGTACATAATAAAATTTTCAATAAATTTTAATGTCATTCATTGAAAAATAAGCATGGTTTATCCTATATAGAAAGACACAGAAAGAAAAGTTAAGAATCAAATATTTAAAAAATATTTTGAAAGAGTGTCATCTGCAGGTCTGCAGTTTTACCTATCCTCAAAAGGAAAATTTTATTGTTTGACTTCTCTGCTAGAAAATAAAGGGAATTTCTAAATAGGCATATGATTGCTAGAGCTATCATTAAACTAATAGACCCAAAGTGAGTCTATCTTTTTGCTTTTATTCTGAAATCTTTTTGCTATGCATAATTTATTCCTTTGAAAGTAATTTTCAGGTTGAATTTATGTCCTCCATGTTTTGTAGGAAAAAAGACCTCAACTCATCTTGCATAATGCACCCATATTTAATGTCATGATGAGAATAAATGTAATACAAGCAAATGCTTGGAAATAATAATTTTCAAAAATGTGAGTCCTAACTGTGATATCTTATGTTTTAAAAATGTAGTAGTTTTGTGTAGGCTCTGTGAAACATTTGTACATTATGTATCTGGTATCCGAGCAATTTCTATTCATTTTTATTGAAAATGAAAAGAAATCGTGTCCCTATCTCTGGTTTGTATCATTTTAGAAAACAACAGAAGCTAGAACCCTTTAAAATGTAAAAGCACGGTGGTTCAGAGTGGTCACCAACTCTTCATCAACTTCTCATTGAGAAAACTTATATTTTAGTCTTTTAAGAAACACAGTTGTTTAAGTATAGTTAGGCAATGCAGAGTAAGTTAGAGAGGTGGTTTTTCACTAAACCTTTTTAACTCTTATGAAGCAGTTACTCTGAGGTTTTTTTTTTTTTTTGAACTTTAGAAAATAAAAGTATTTAGAAGCTTAGAAACAAGCACTTTTCCCATCCAACTATGCATCCATCATCGAATTTTTCCTCAGACATAGCACTTGTCTAAATGACAGGAAGGTATGGCCCTGGGTATTGATGTGTGTATGAGGAGATACTTTTCAGTTGGGGGACTTGATGGAATAAGTCGTTTGTACTAAAAGATAAAATAAGTAAACCCCTTCATTTTTATCTGCATACTGTTTTCCCTTGGACAGAAGACTTAAATAGATAAATACACAGTATCTAAACAAAACCTTTTATTTTAATAAAATATTTATAAATGCTTGATCTAAAAAATGATCATACACTTCTATAATAGTTTTTTTAAAAAGTGCTTTGGATGAGGAATACATTCTGGCAGTCTGCACTACAAACTTTGAAGCCCTAATAGAATATCAAGTCCTCTGTCAATGACAGCAAGGAAAGTTCCAGTACAATATGTGTTTCATAATCCTGTGTCTAACCAACTCTACTTTCTCCACAGCTCAAGTTTCGAGCAAATGCTTATCAGGAGCACGGCAGTCAGTCCTTGTTTGGTTAACAAATTTCCCAGCAAAATATTCCCCCAAATTCCCCAGGAGCTGTAGTGATGTCATATCCGTTGTCCAGGTCTCCACACCTCTCTCAGCAGTTACTCCTTTTTTCTTTTTCTTGGGTCAAAACTTTTGAGGTGGGCTGGCTGTCTAGCTGCAGGGAGAAGGTAGACCGCGGCAGCAGGCTGGAGGCGCTTCAGCACCTCGGCCAGCGCCCACTGCAGCCCAACCCACCCTCAGGCTCTCCCGACTCCCAGCTCTGAGAATGCCTGCGGAATGATCGCCCCCCAGGGCGGCTGCCTCCGCTGCTGCTCCTGCCGCTGCTGCTGCCACCGCCTCTGCCTCCACTCTGCTCTGACTGGCAGGCAGAAAGTGCAACTGACGAGGGAAAGGTCTCTGCAGTGAGAACGGAGTGCTACATAAAAGAGAGTACAGAGGGGACAAAACCCAGATCAGAATGCAGGCGACGTCCCACCTTCTCAATCTCCTGCTGCTGTCTCTGCTGGCTGGATTAGACCCTTCCAAGGTAAGGACAATATTTTGACTCTTATTTGAAATAAATATGGAATATATAACAAACAGATTAAAATGCAAATAAAGATGCCAAAAACGGCGCGAGAGGCAGCTCTTTCAGCTACCTTGAGGTGCCTGGAGCATCCCCGCTGCTTGGAGGATAACAAGGTGAACTACCGGAGGAATAGCTCCTCGGGGAAGAGTCCTAGTGTGAGGGGAAGGAGCCAGAGGAATGTAATGTGCAGGGGCAGCGGGCAATGCGGCTCTCGGGGGACTGAGCTATTTGCTTGTCAAACTGCTTAATGCTTTCTTCTGAAGTCGGACGGATAATGCAAAGGAGTTTGCAGCCGAAACAATGCAGTCTGTAAACATGTAATAGGAGATGGGGAACCGTTTCTTTGTTGAAAACAGGGCAGCGTTTTCCAGCTGATTCTGGTCAATAATATTCCCATCGCAGACGTGCTGCGGTTTGCGTTCAAAACATTTGGGATGCTGCTTGCAACACACACGGCAGAGCAGCAGAGCTGGACTTTGCTGTAGTGAGAGGCGTTGCTGAAAGAGCCTCGCGCTTTCCTTTCGTTAAGGAAATTAGGGGACACTGAGGAAGTTCTGATCATCAGCGTCAAGAAACAGGAAGTAACAGGAGCCCTATCAAACTAAGGAGGCTGATAGGAAAGATGAGTTGTCCCATAGCTTTCGAACTCTGAAAATCATCTAGTACTGGCAAAGTGAAAGCTAAATAAAAAGGCAGGAAAGCATGGGAAAATGTTTTCAGTGATGTATGAGAAGTCTTGGTTGTGAATTGTGGTTAATTTGAGAGCTTCGGCATTCTAGGAAAAATCTAAGTATCTACCGTAAGGGATGAAGCATTTAGGAAGAAATAGGAGATACAATTTACTTGTTATTTTACTGATTTAGCTGATCAACAGCAATTTGACACTTGGAAAAGAGATGTCATTTTATTAAAGAGAATATATTAAGGTGTTTTGCTTTTGGACTAGTGTAAAGTTATTTTTAAAGCTTTACATTGTCTCTGTAGTGAGAGATGAAGTTTTATTCATAAATGAACAAAAATAAAATATTACCAACATAGTCTTATACTGTGGTCATGATATATCTACTTCTAACATGGCACAGAGTGAACGCTTAGAATTATGTCACATACACTTACAATTATTTATCTACACTTTTCTTCCTTACAGAAATCTGGTGGAAATTAGCACATTTTATTTTAAAGCTATGCTTGCATTGATATTTTCAGTGTGACAGCTTCACACAATTTGTGAATGCAATTTTAATGATCTCAGTGACGTATTTTACATACTAAGGTATAGTTTTAAACATTTTACACCTGCAATACATATATTGATTCTGTTTTAAAATCTTAAATCTTCTGTTATTTCTGACATTTCACCCGTAGTGGCATATGTTAGTGCTACTCTCACATGTCACTGGTTAAAACTTTTGAAAATACTCCATTATATATCTTATTCGGAAATTTCTTGGTAAAATACTTCTAAGAAGGAAAATCAATGAGTTAATATAAATAAATGTTTCATCATTTTAAAAAATTCAGAAATTTAAATCTTCACTAAAACGTGCATATATGATTTGTCTGATATTTTAATGCATACATATTTCTTTGCTAGAATGCCATTCTTTCCAAATTATATATATATATATATATATATATATATATATATATATATGTTGTTGTTAAATAAGGAGATTAATTCCCCCCAAAAGTAGCACAGCATGTTACTATGACCTTATCTAGTCTTCAATAATTTCTGCATATTTAATGATATAAAACTTTGTAATTTGATCCAACTGAACTATGAATATTTTCTATAATTGAGATGAGAAATCCAGGAAAGGAAAAGAATACATTAACTTTTCAAACTGTCTTCCTCAGCTGATAGACAATTCAGTGCAGTATGCAAAAAACAAAAGGTGGTATTTTGTTCTGTGCTACATTTGACATTATACCGAATATCAAAAGTTCAATAACAAGTAATTTTAATGTCAAAAGGTTTTAAATTTGTAGACAAATTTGCTTTAAGGAGGATGAATAGTGACTTCTTTTGTACTTTTACGTAACAGATATTGGTTACAAGCAGTATTTTAACCACACCCCAAAAGTATAAATAACACCATTGTTTGGTCAAAATAATTGTGAATTGAATAATAAACTGTAAATTTTCTCAGTTTTTTATTACTACAGTTGTTCTAATAATAATGAAAATAGTTACAGTTAGTGAACATAAATTCTAAATACCTGCTTTTATACATACAAAAATATTTTAGGACTATTATATGCTATCATCAACTTTCAAAAATACACTTTAAGTATTTTTCTATTTTGAATATAATTATAAATATAAGTTTAATAACATGTATTGAAACAAACATACAAAGAGGATTAACTATTAAAACTGAGTATTTTTAAGGTATAGAAGTCCACATTATCAAATGTTGAAAATTTAAACTTATTGAGTGAATATTATATTTGATTTCCTAAAAGTAAAATAGTTTGCTATGAACAGTACCCATCTGATTATATGGAAGACCACAAAATGTTTACATTTATATTTTTTTCTGTTGTGTGATACAAGTTTACAAATCTTACATGACATTTTATAAGTGCCGAGATATCAGCATCTGGTAAGTTATTTGAAAGTCAACTTTCTCCTTAAATTGAAAAAATACAAGTATATAAGTTTATATAATGAACTTTTCTTCAGCATGAACTTGCTTCTCTCACTTAACTAATCAAAAATTGGCAAGCTTAGTATTTTTCCAGGAAAGAAAGCAATTCACCACTAATTAATTATCTGTATTTTTAAAAATATAAGCATGTTATTGATATGTCTCTTAGGAAAAAATTATTTGAATTATGTTTTCTTATTTAAAGTCTAATTAACAAGTTTCTAATTCCTTTAAAAAATTCATGGCTGTATCACTTTGCCTATTTTAAGAGATCAATTAATTTCATTTGTAATGGAGTGTCTGAATTATAAACCAAATGCCAAGTCATCATTCAGTAAGTAAAATTTAAAAAAAAAGAACTGAAAGCTTGTAGTAATTCACTCATTGTTCAATTTCATAGAAAAGTATGAGTGCTGAGCAGGAAATTCCTGGAGATGGCTGCTAGATGGCATCTATGTGCTTTTAAACTGAAGTCACTGAGTTCAGTAATGACCTTGATAGTAGGAGAGTGGACTGTTTTTTTTTTTTTTTTTTTTTTTTTTTTTTTTGACAAGATTTCCAGCAGATCATTATTTGAACATTATAACGAAATAGAAATCCCCAGTGCCCACGAATTTACCTTCTCTGCAATGCTGAACTACAAAGATTACAAAGATACAAGGATATATATATATATATATATATATATATATATATATATATATAACTGTGCAGGTTCCAAGCAGAACATGTACACCAAAGCCAGACACTTGAGTAATGGTTAAAAAGAAATGACATGGGCATATCCAAATATCATAGTAACTACTAGACCTACAGCTGTCATAGTCTTGTGATACATATATTGTAAAATGACCTGATGGGAAGATCATGTTTTGATTAAGGAAGAAGCATATACTATTTGTCCTCCTAAGTGCAGATGACATTTACCACTATGATACTTGTTCACAATGCAGAAAAAATATTACAACAATGATCCAGCAAGAATATCTACCGTCAAACTATTTTTGTTAAAAACAACCTCAATTACAACTCTTGCCCTACATAAGAAAATCACTATAAAGTCATACAAACTGTAAGAACTAAAAGCATTTGAAAAATTGTATTCTCTAGTGCTTCACAAAGTAATAGACCATAAGTGTCTTCATATTTTGGTATGATTAAAGATGGTAATAAAAGACTTAAATTGCTATAATCTAACGTTCTTTCTTTTGCAATTGTTAAACGAAATTGGCAAACAAGCAAAAACAGCAAGAGACATAAACTAAGACTACTATCACTTTACTTTAAACACCAACTCTGAAATTTATCTTCTAGATTTCCTGTATGCTAGAGACATGTTTTACACAAGGATCAATCCAAGTTAGAACAGAAAATGTGAATCAGTGGCATTTGGCATGGACGTGATTCCACACCAGTAAACCCAGATATGGTAAAAACTAAAGAGTTCAAGGCCGCTCATTTGTGTTTCCAGAGAGTGAGCAGCTTCGGTTTCCCATTTTATCTCACCTTCCTTTAACTAATTAAACTTTTGAAGAAGTAAATATAATAATCTCCTCACACTTTCTCCAGGCTAGTTGAGAATGTTAAAGTGGTGCTTTCCTCCTTTGTTTTCCTTCCAAGATTTTTATTCCCTGTATCTGTGCAACTGATAATTGAGAAGCCCAGTACTCTATTGACAAAGATACCACATTCGGGCACCTCATTTCCAGTCCCTATGTTACTATTGATGATGTATAAGTGACAATAATAATCTGTGCTCTGAGGGCCTTTACCTGTAAAATGATGAGTCTAAATGTTCTTGATCATTTGTTAAAAGGAGTATTTTTTTTTTTTTTTGTATGCTTAGCAAGACTAAACCTTAATAGAAATGAGAGTGGCCCTACAAGATCATACCATAAAGATTTTAACTTCTGGGGTTGGCGTTCAGCGCTTTCACTTTCCAGCTTCTTGTTATACTACTGTGTTCTCTATGCACATACACAACCCAGGTGTCAGGATTCTATCCATTCATCTATCGATCTTTATCCCCAAGATCATTTATTTATTCAGATCTGAAAGCTGGTGTTTACTACTTCAGTCATCAGTCTGTCATTGAATGAAAAGTTTTTTCTAACAAAAAATTAAGTGGAAATGTATTTCCCACATAATATGATATGCTGGGTACACTGAAGATATGTAAGTCATTTCGAAGGGCTACTTGTAAAAGGTAGCATGTATTCTATTTTTCACTCATCTAAAGTAAGCACATTTCTAACGATTTTTTAGCTTGGCAATTATTAAAACTTCTCAAGTTTTTATACTAAC